GGATAAAACGAAATGTCGGATAAGTGAAGGTCAGAAAATTGGTGCTCTACTGTGTGTGTGTGTGTATTTGACCAGACTGCACACAGTATTCAAAATGGAAGCGTACTATGAATTTATATAGTGGCTTTAGGATATTTTCTGTCTATTGCTTTTCTAATGGTTGTTGAGATTCCATTAGGTTTTTTTGACTTGTTGCACATTGAGTGGGTGTTTTCAGAGACTTCTTCACAATGACTCCAAGATCTTCCTTGAGTGGTAACAGCTAATTCAGACTTCATCCATCTCTATCTATTGTTGAGTGATAAATGCAAAGTAGTGCACTTTAGAAAACATACAGCCCACTTTCACCTCCACATTCACCCCTCATTGGCCCTGACACCCGGCCCTGTAATTTCAAACACTCCCCCTTAATTTCAGTTCCTGGGGATTACATTGTGCGGTACACTTTTTAAAACAGGGAAAGCTCCCCTGTTCTGTTGTCTCCTCTCCCCTGCTCTGCAGAGATGGGATATTTGTGTGTGAGTGGGAGAATTAGAGCTGGCTGCTGGAGAAATGTTAGAAACTGCATTGCCTCTTCCAGACAAGCACTCATCCATCACCATTCACACTTCAGACCGGAGCAGCTCTGCTCTATGTGAGCTCCTTTCCCCAACCCTCTCTACAGAAATGAGTTACGGGGCAGAGGGGCACTCTGATAGCAGCACTCCCCTTTTCCCCACCCTGTGTAGCTAGCAGGAAGGGCCTGGGAGCAGCTTGGCTGCAGGACAGAGCATGGTGGGTGAGAGGCAGCTGAACACTGGCTGCCAACTGTAAACATGCTCCTCTGCTCATCAGCTGGGTGGGCTGGAAAAATTGTTGGATGGGCTGGATGTGGCCCATGGGCCAAATTTTTCCCACCCCAGTTCCTAGAATGTACATAATGAGATCCTGGTACATAAATAGTTTGAAACACTGGTTACAAAAGTGCCATGTGAATGCCTGGTCTCACTTTCAGATGACATTATAAACAAGAAGCGAACTACATTATCTCCTGCAAATTGTAACCAAACTTGTTTGTCTGACCAGTTGGCTGAACAATAAGTAGGACCAAGTAGATCTTAGGCTCTAAAGTTTTACTGTGTTTTATTTTCAAATCCCCTTTTTTGTATATAATTCTACATTTGTAAATTCAGCCTTCATGATAGAGATTGCATCATAATATTTGTGTGAGGTGAATTGAAAAATACTGGTTCTTTTTTTTTTTTACAGTGCAAATATTTGTAACCAAAATATAAAGTGAGCACTGTACATTTTATATTCAGTTTTAAAAGCTGGGGAGACAGGAGGGGAGCACGGCCTTTCCCTGCTTCCTCCCCCACCAGACCTTTTCACTGACAAGTGTAACAACACAGTGCAGCATACATGCAGCTTTTCACTGTTGTGTATCTACAGGCAGTCCCCGGGTTACGTACAAGATAGGGACTGTAGGTTTGTTCTTAAGTTGAATCTGTATGTAAGTCGGAACTGGCCAGTTCTGACTTACATACAGAATCAACTTAAGAACCCCAGGCGTCCCCAAGTCAGCTGCTGCTGAAACTGATCAGCAGCTGATTCCAGGAAGCCCGGGGCTTTTCACTGTTGTGTATCTACAGGCAGTCCCCGGGTTACGTACAAGATAGGGACTGTAGGTTTGTTCTTAAGTTGAATCTGTATGTAAGTCGGAACTGGCCAGTTCTGACTTACATACAGAATCAACTTAAGAACCCCAGGCGTCCCCAAGTCAGCTGCTGCTGAAACTGATCAGCAGCTGATTCCAGGAAGCCCGGGGCAGAGCAACTCTGCCTGGGGCTTCCTGTAGTCAGCGCTGGTCAGTTTCAGCAGAAGCTGACTTGGGGACGCCTGGGGCAGAGCAGCTGGGGTGCTACTGGACCAACCCAGCAGCACCCCATCTGCTCTGCCCCAGAC